CAGTCAGCTCCTTGTGCTAAATCAGGCTGTACTAAAGCTGACCAGGCTGTTTGCTGCAAGGAGGTAAATTGCTGGGAGGCAGAGGCAGATTCCCCCCCCCTTGTTTTCCTCCCCAAAAGCTAGGTGCATCTTATAGTTTGGAGTGTCTTATAGTCCAAAAAATATGGTAATTAAACAGAATTATTAAATTGTCCCACAGTCAGTTGACTCTGGCAAGTTGTCCCATTCCCTTCCCAACAGGCATTGCCTATGATGTGTTAGAAGGCTACTGTCAGTTAAATTAGATTGGCAAAAGCTAAGCCAGGATTACCTTGAGAATGCTGCCAGGAATGGGGAAGTATTCCTCACATCTCCCCCTCTACTGCTCCCCCCCCCCGTTTCCCCAGCATCTGCTGTTCAAATCACAGGTAGTCCCCGACTTAACAAGAATCCATTTAGTGACCGTTCAAAGATAAAATGGCACTGAAAAGTGACTTAAGTTTCTCAGTTACAACTTTTGCAGCAGATGGATCATGTGATCAAAATTCAGATGCTTGGCAACTGATTCACATTTATGACCGTTGCAGTGTCCCAAGGTCATGTAATCCCCTATGAGCCACGGTGGGGCAGTAGTTAGAGTGCAGTACTGCAGGCTACGTCTACTGACTGCTATTGCCCTTCCTTCCTAGAATAGAAAACAGAGTTGGAAGGGACCTTGGAGGTCTTCTAGTCCAACCTCCTGCCTAGGCAGGAACCCTACACCACTTCAGACAAATGGTTATCCACCATCTTCTTAAAAACTTCCACTGTTGGAGCATTCACAACTTCTGGAGGCAAGCTGTTCCACTGGTTAATTGTTCTAACTGTCAGGAAATTTCTCCTTAGTTCTAGATTGCTTCTCTCCTTGATTAGTTTCCACCCATTGCTTCTTGTCCTGCCTTCAGGTGCTTTGGAGAATAGCTTGACTCCCTCTTCTTTGGGGCAGCCCCTGAGATATTGGAACACCTCTATCATGTCACCCCTAATCCTTCTTTTCATCAGACTAGACATATCCAGTTCCAGCAACTGTTCTTCATATGCTTTAGCCTCCAGTCCCCTAATCCTCTTTCTTGTTCTTCTCTGCATTATATATCTTTTTTACATCGTGGCATCCTCCCTCCCTCCCTCTCTTGGTGGTGCAGTGGTTAGAATACACTTTTGCAAGCAAACGCTGCCCACTGCCAGGAGTTCGATCCTGACTGGGTCAAGGTTGACTCAGCCTTCCATCCTTGGTGGGTAAAATGAGGACCCAGATTGTTGGGGGCAAGAGGCTGACTGTGTAAACCGCTTAGAGAGGGCTGTGAAGCACTGTGAAGCAGTATGTAAGTCTAAGTGGTAAAGTCTAAGTGCTAAAAGCATAGACTAAGCTAAGCTCTTGCTATTTTGTGACCTTCTGGCAAGCAAAATCAATGGGGAAGCCAGATTCACACAACCGTGTTACTAATTTATCAACTGCAGTGATTCACTTAACTGAGGCCAGAAAGATAGTAACACACAACTCGCTTAACAAATGTCTCCCTTAACAACAGAAAGGTTGGGTTCAATTAAGGTCGTACGTCGAGGACTGTTTGTACCCAGTTTCACTCTGTTTCAGGAATAACTGCCAGCATGGACCGGACAACTTTATAAAAGACTGGAAGCCATTTGGTTTTTTGTTTTTTTTTTATTCATGATTTTATTGTTTTATCAATGTATAAAATACAGAGAAAAATAAAAATAGGAAATTAAGGAAAGGAAAAGAGAGAGGGAAAGAAAATATCAGGTACAAAGTGGGGGGGAAAGATTGACTGAAGATAACATTACAGCCTCAACTTTTTACTTTTTTATTAGTATATAACATTAGTATATAACTAGTCATTTCTATAACAACAAATCTATCTAATTGGCAAAACCAAAGTTAAAGTTTCGGGGTTTTTTTCATCACAAGAACAAAATCCAGAAGTAATATCCAAATCCAAAACATAATTAAATATATATTCCTCTTTGAATAAAGCAATCAATTTAATCATTTCTGCTTTATCTTCCTTTCTGTGGAAATAATATATATTTCTGTTTGCACTTAATTAACTTGATAAACTATCACCATTTATATTAACAAAATTCACTGTATTCTTTCAGATTCTTTAATCTTAAAGGGAAAAATACAATTTATGGACTTTTTATGTGTTAAATGCAGTAACAGATGGTTAACAGAGGGATTTGAAGATTACTGTAATTGCTTCCCCCCATCCCTATTTTTCACATATATATTATGATTACATGTTGATTTGATTTGATTAGTAGATTAGTAGATACTTTCCCATCTGCAATATAGTAGTTTTTATTAAATAAGGATGGGACAGCTTATAACTATTTGTGGATCTGTTAAGTAAGCGGAGCAAAATCTATGATTTTTTTTTTTTTTAATTTTCAGCATCCAGCCAGGGTAGATACTGTATTTTTAATTGACATTTGGGTCATTCCCCCTCCCTTCTTTTTGTACACATTTTTTTTTCTTTTTTGTTGTTAGTCTTGGATGTACATTTTTCTGTTTATTGTTTTGCATTTTATTTTTGCTGATAAAACAAAATACGTGTAGTCCTCGACTTACGACCACAATTGAGCCCAAAATTTCTGTTGCTAAGTGATATATTTAAGTGACTTTTGCCCCATTTTGTGACTTTCCTTGCCACATTTGTTAAGTGAATCTGGCTTCCCCATTGACTTTGCTTGTCAGAAGGTTGCAAAAGGGGGTCACGTGACCCTGGGGACACAGCGACCGTCACAAACGTGAGTCAGTTCTCAAGCATCTGAATGTAAATCACGTGACCGTGGGGATGCTGCAACGGTCATAAGTGTGAAAAATGGTCGTAAATTCGTTTCTGTGACTAATTTAACAACTGCAGTGATTCACTGAACAACTGTGGCAAGGAAGGTCACAAAATGGGACAAACTCGCTTCACCAATGTTTCACTTAGCAACAGAGATTTTGGGCTCAGTTGTGGTCATAAGTCGAGGACTACCTGTACAGGCAATGCTTGCTTTTACCTTCCCTCTTGTCAAGGTGCACCACAACAGGAATGCAATAACTGCAATAACATTTCCAAATGTGGTTTTTTTCAGGACTTCAGAACTGGACTTCCTTGGTTTTTTCTTTTGAAGACGTTTCGCTTCTCATCCGAGAAGCTTCTTCAGCTCTGACAGGATGGTGGGGAATGGAAGGATTTCTATTCCTTGCAGAGAAGCTGGTCATTTGCATCCTTTTGGAGGGTGGTTGAAGCACTTGGAGGTTTATTTATGTCCTCAAGGTCACCTGAGTGGTGCAAATGGTTCCTGTAGTCTGCAATTTTTCCCCTCTGGAAATCCATTCCACACCATTCAGAGGATGTTCATCCCAAATTGCATAGCTAAAAGTCCGTAGAGATTCTCAGGTCATGGTTGTCCCATGACCTGGATTGTCCCAAATGGTTGTCCCAAATGACCAGCTCTACAAGGAATATAAATCCTTCCATTCCTCAGTATCCTGTCAGAGTTGAAGAAGCTTCTTGGATTAGGAGCGAAACGTCTTCAAAAGAAAAAACAAGAAAGTCCAGTTGCCTCCTGAAAAAAAGCACCTTGGGGACAGGCACACAGAAGTTTCTTGAGGATGGGCTCCAGCACGAATCTGAAAGCTCAGAAGACTAAATCTAAAAGTCTGCAGAGATTCTCCGTCATCCAGGTTACGGTTGTCCCAAAGGTGCTTTTTTCAGGAGGCAACTGGACTTTCTTATTTTTTCTTTTGAAAACATTTCACTTCTCATTCAAGCTTCTTCAGTTCTGACTGGATGGTGGGGAATGGAAGGATTTATACTCCTTGCAGAGAGCTGGTCATTTGCATCCTTTTAGAGCAGTGTTTCTCAACCTTGGAAGCTTGAAGATGGGCGGACTTCAACTCCCAGAAACCCCCAGCCAGCACTGCTGGCTGGGGGATTCTGGGAGTTGAAGTCCACCCATCTTCAAGCTACCAAGGTTGAGAAACACTGTTTTAGAGGGGCTTTGAAGCACTTGGAGGCTTACTTGTGTCCTTAAGGTCACCTGAGTGGTGCAAATGGTTCCTGTAGTCTGCATTTCCCCCCCTCTGGAAATCCATTCCTACTCCCACCCCATTCCAAGGGTGTTCGTCCCAAATTGCATAGCTAAAAGTCACCTCTGACAGGATAGTGTCAGAGGTGTCAGAGCCGAAGAAGCTTCTTGGATGAGAAGCGAAACGTCTTCAAAAGAAAAAAAAGAAGGAAGTCCGGTTGCCTCCTGAAAAAAAAAAAAACACCTTTGGGACAACCAGGACCTGGATGATTGAGAATCTCTGCAGACTTTTTGCAATGCTAAGGCTGGGTTGAAAAAGCACGCCGGGGGAGGGGTGGGGGATTTATTGACTACTGAACCAAAATTCAGATTTTTCGCTTCTGCAGCTCAGCATGCCCCTCCACATTGCATGGTTCCATCTAGGCACCATGGTTGAACTATGGTTTCCTAGAGGAATGTACGCGGCCCAATGCACGGTGCTACAAAGCACCAAACCTTTGCATTGGCGCTATCCCGCTGTTGCAAACGGTGTTTGATTTAAAGCCACAAGGGTGAAGCCGAGCCACGCCCGGCGGCGAATTTAGACACCGAGAAACCGCGCAGGAGAAACTGCGCGTGCGTGGAGGCGCAGCGAGGCTGACGTGCGCGCGCATATACCTTCCCCTCCTTGGCCGCGCCTGCGCAGACGGGTCCTCCTCCCCCTCCCTGTCTTCCTCCTTTCCATTTTGCCGGCGTAACCAAACTTGATGACCTCGTCTTCGCCGCCTCCTCCTTTATGACATTGATGGGCGCGTCAGCCGCCCAATGGGCGCGCGGTAGGCGCCGGAGAGTCGCTGGGGCAGCGGCGACGGCGAAGGGAAGGAGGCGGGCTCTACCGCGGGTGGGGGGGGGGGTTGTCGTTTTCTGTCCCCTCCCCCTAGCATGTTCGGGTGAGGCCTTTTGGGGCGCTCGGGGCGGCGTCTCGGGCTCAGTGTGGGCGGCGGCAGCGGCCGGGGATGCGGCGGCGGCAGCGGCTCTTCTTGATGGCGTCGCCGCAGCTGCCGGGCGCGGCCGGACGGAGGTAGCCGGAGCCGCGCCGAGGCGGCCCGGCCGGTCGGGCGGGCGAGCGAGCCAGCGATGGAGGATCAGGCGGCGCAGGAGGAAGGCGAGGCCGAGATCCAGGAGCTGCACGGGCCCGAGCACTGGTTCAGCCAGTGGGAGCGGCAGTGCCTGGCCGAGGCCGAGCAGGACGACGGCGGCGGCCTAGGCGGCGGCGGCGGCGGCCCTCTGCCGCCCGAACTACAGGACGACGACGAGGCGGCCGCTGCCGCCACCCCGCAGCCGGAGCCCAAGCAGCAGAAGCTCTGGCACCTCTTCCAGAACTCGGCCACCGCCGTGGCGCAGCTCTACAAGGGTGAGCGGAGGCCCCGCCGCACGTGTGGACGCCCTGACACGTGTCGACGCCGGGAGGGAGACCCCCCCTCACGGGGGGGGTTCTGTCTTTCCCCTCACCCGGGTGGGAACCTTTGGGAGTGGTCGTCGAGGCCCGGCCCGGTTCCCCCCGCCGGGCGTCCTCAAGATGGCGGGGAGGCCTCATCATCGCCTCCGCCGCCGCCGCTTCTCTTTCTTCCCTCTCAGTCGGTGAAGAAAGCGGCTCTCCGTTGGGGGGGGTGGCACAAATGGATTCGCCCGTCCCGTCCTCCCCCCGTCCTGAGGGAGGGTGGGCTCGCCCGGGCCCTTGGCCCCTCCCACCAACAAAATGGCCGTTGGGGGGGTCGAATACTCGGGGTGGGAAGGGCCTTAAACCGGGGGGGGGGTGGCCGCCGCCTGCAATAGACCCAGATGTAGTTTCCACCCCTTTTTTTTAAAGAAGGGGCGCCCCGCTTTCTTCTACCCCCCCCACACCCATGGGGGGAAAATGGAGCATTCCGCACCGCTCTCTTTTATCCTCCTATCCCCCCCCGGGGCGGACTTGGACGCTTCCAGGCGGCTTCCGTCCTCCTCGGACCTCTTCTTCTCCCCCCCCCCGCCCTCCTCCCATTTCCTGCGCTTCCGTCCCGGCGGTGGCGGGTGAACAAAATGGCGAAGCGCAATATGGCCGGGCCTTAAAAGAGGAGGAGGAGGAGGTGGGGGGGGGGGTTAGGCGGTCACGGCGAGGCTCACTTTCTCCCTTTTGCTCTCTTCCCCCCCGCGCAGACCGCGTGTGCCAGCAGCCCGGCCTCTCCCTCTGGGTGCCCTTCCAGAACGCGGCCACCGCCGTCACCAACCTCTACAAAGGTGAGCGGGGACGGGGGGGGGGAGGACTCTGGGTGGGGGGGAAGGAGGAGGAGGGGGGGCTGAGAACTCCTGGGAGGGGGACCTCCGCGTCGGGGAGGGGCTGTCTCAGCCCAGCCCTGGGGTCTTGCAGGGCTGGAAGAAGGGCGAGGAGCGCCTGGAGAGCAACCCATTTTTGCTTTTCCCAGCTTCATAGGCTTTGGGGTAGGTCCGAGGCGAGAGACCCTGGGGCCCTGGGTGTAGGGTTGCCTGGTGGAGCAGGGCAGAGAGAGAAGCATTTGGGGTTTTTTCAGTTGATCAGGATAGAGCTGGAAGGGGCCTTGCAGGTCTTCAACCCCTCCACCATTCCAGAATAGCAAGAGTTAGAAGGGGCCCTGGAGGTCTTCTAGTCCAACCCCCTGCTCAAGCAGGGGACCCTCGACTGTTCCAGAATAACAGGGTTAGTATCAAGATCACTGGAAGCGATCCTAAGTAATAAGTATCAAGATCATGTGAAGTAATAACAGACTAGCAGAGGTAGAATGGACCCTGGAGGTCTTCTAGTCCAGCCCCCTGCTCAAGCAGGAGACCTCTACCCAGGCGTTCATTGTCTGGATGGTATTTCCTCCACTGAGTTTGGACTTTAATATACAAGATAGAACATAGAATAATGGGAGTGGGAAGGGGTCTTGGAGGTCTTCTAGTCCAGCCCTATGCTCAAGCAGGAGACCCTACACCATTTCAGACAAATGGCTGTCCAGTCTCTTCTCGAAAGCCTCCGGTGATGGAGCCCCACAACTTCAGAAGGCAAGCTGTTCCACTGGTTTTCTAGGGAAGCCCAGCTCTCTGTGCTCAGTGGGGATTTTGGGAGCCTCAGGAAATGCCTGAAATAAGCTTTTACGGGAACTCTCTGTCTCTGCCTTGAAGGGTCAAGTGGCTCTTGCAAGGTGACCCTTCGGTGTCTCCTTGACAGCCTCTGGGGGCTGAATGTCAGGGGCAAAGCCAGCTCTTCTCCAGTGCCTGAGAGGAGGGAGTGGTTAGAATTGTTTTGATGCTTAGGACCTTCCTCATTCATCTCAAGGCTCAACACTGAAGTTGGTGCCAGCCAACTTCAGGCTGTGTTCTGTATGTGACTTCACTCGCCCAAGGCTAGGCTGCTGCTGGGGCTACTGACACTAAAAGAATATGGTCACAAAAAATGTTCCTCAGGAGTCTTTTATGAGGCTTCTTTAGAAACTGAGGTTTGTTGGAGACCTCTTCTGAACTTCGTGCTTGATGTGGAAAAGAATGAAACTCTGATTTTGGGTTTTACCGATTAGACTGATAGATCTTTATAGAAATGGCTTGTTCATATTATTATGAAAAAGCAAAAAATTGTGATTTGATGTGAATGCCTTCCTTTCCTATAACAGAGTCGGAAGTGAATGCTTTTTCTTTTTCTTTCCTCACTTCTCTTCCCCCCCCCCCCCCCCCCCCCCCACTGCTATTCTATTTACTTTGTATTTTGTATATTTTATAATATTTTATAACTCAATAAAATATGTTAATAGAAATTGAGAGTTGGGAGAAACTATAGAACTTTGGTGGTGGAACAAGAGCATCATTTCTGAGTGAGCAATCTTCTAATCCCATCAGGAGAGTATTATAGGATAATGGAGTTGGAAGGGACATTATCTGGTTGCCAATGGTATAGGAGACCCTGTAGATCCAATGGTATAGCAGACTTGCATAGTTTTCTCCATTTATTCCATGGTACTGTTTTTTTAATTCTGTGCTGAGTGTTCATTGTAGGGTATGTGGAGGCAAGTGGTTATGTATTTGGGAGGGTTTTGTGGTTTGTGGATGTGTGTGTGTGTGGGGGGGCTTTCTTGTGGAATGCATCCCGAGGACAAAAAAAAGAGTAAGGGGTGTTCCTTTATCTGCTGTTTGCCCTTAAGATCCCTGGATTTGCAAGAGGTTTGCACAGGATATAGGAACAGTATAGGATCCTAATTTCAGAAATAACAAAGTATCTTAGAACGAACTGTGTTTATAAGCCAGGTTCAAGCTGGGACTTCTAATGTGATTTTTGTTTAAATGATTTGTCTCGAATACTGATATTCAAGTGACATTTAAATTGAACAGATTCTACTCCTATGTACACAGCATAAAGTATTAAACACATTATCTGTGGTTCATTGCTATACGTCTTCAGTATCATTATGTACTACAAAAAAGTTGATCAGTCCCTTAACTCAGTGAATTTTTGGATCTTCAATTTCTAGGTAAGCTTGACATAATGTAGTTTCTCATGGGAAAAATGATGTAGTTTTCCAGGGAATAAAATGGTTGTCTTCATTGTTTGGTTGTGCATGGTTTGATATTAGCGATACTTTTATAACCCTGTACTATTTATACTGACTTTTAAATAAGTTTAGATCTTCATGTCTAGTTATTTCTCATCTTGGAGAGATAGAGATGGAGTAGAGAGGCAGAGAAAGAAATGTTGGATTTAGATGTTATGTTAACTTTCAATTATTTTTTTCCACTCCTTAACTATTACAATGTTTTTGATAGCCTAGGAAAAGACTCAGTCGATCAACTTTATAAATATTCTAGTTCTATACTAATTTATAAACATCTGGAAAAGGACTATTAAATAGTCTTGGGTGGTTCATACTTCTAAAAACTCCATGAGTGCTCAGAGATTTCTTTCAGCTCATGGAGGAAAAGAGAAGACTCCAGAATATGTTACTGGCTTGACTTTAAATATCCTAAAGTGCTTCCAGTTACTCATAAGTACTCGAGCACTAACTGGCAAATGCTGGCTCAGCTAAAGCCTGAGTTGCCTTGATAACAAGTTTGGTGACCCAATAAATAAATAAAGGTAACAATATTTTTGTTGGACTTAGCCATTCCTATATCATGTGAATAACTTACTTTAGAAGCAATGAATGTAATTAGATGATGCCTTCTGAAGTGGCCAAATGGAATGTAGTGCTGAAAACAGCCACCATTTAGTCATCGAGGGAGGTATTTGCCAGTTCAGCCAATAGTATTAGTCAGCTCTCTTTCTCTAATTGACACCAGCTGCCATTTTGTTGGTTTATTGCTTGGCAGTTGCTGGGTCAAAGCCAGATGGGTTGTCTGCAGCCTGTGCCTCTTGCTAGAAATCCAAGCAGTGCATGGAACTAGCTGGGAAAGAATGTACTGGTAATCTAGTCTTGCAGAAGGACAAGGGACGCTGTCTCCTGACTCTGCACTTTTATAATCTTGTGAAAAGTAAAGGGGAGAATCAGAGTCTTCTGCGTATCCCAACCTTACCTATATTTATAATACATCTGAGAACTGCAGGAATGACATGTCCAAAATTAGAAAATTCCACTCTGCAAGACATTGGGACATAAATTGCTCCATAGCTAACACAGTCCTGATACCAAAATGTACAGATTAGTTTTTCCTTCTCTTGGTCTTAAGAATCTAGTCCAGTGTTTCTCAACCTTGGAAGCTTGAAGATGGGTGGACTTCAACTCCCAGAACCCCCAGCCAGCAGCGCTGGCTGGGAGTTTCTGGAAGTTGAAGTCCACCCATCTTCAAGCTTCCAAGGGTGAGAAACACTGATCTAGTCTAATGATATGATGGTTCTTTCTCTCCCTACTCCGTCCATCTGTCTGTCAGAGAGAGGGAGATAAATAGATACTGTGTTTCCCCGAAAATAAGACCCTGTTTTATATTTTTTTGAACCCAAAAATAAGCACTTGGCCTTATTTTCCGGGAGGTCTTATTATTTTGGGGTGCGTGGAGCAAGATGGGGCTCCTCTTGCTGTCTTACCTGATTTCCAGCCTTGCATTTAAATATTTTCGGGGAGCACTTATTTTCGGGGGGAGGCTTATTTTAGCACATGCGCTTGAAAGCCGGATTAGGTTTATTATCAGAGGATGTCTTATTTTCGGGGAAACTGTGTGTGTGTGTGTGTATGTGTGTGTGTGTGTTCAGGGCTTACTGAATGGATTGATAGGTCAAACTAAATGGTAATTGCTTGTTTGAACATTGGCATATTATATGAAATGAATCATTTTTGTCCAATTTAAGAACAGTAGTTATGTAGTCTATGATTTAATATGACATGTGAGCCTAGCTGCTGCAATCAGTGGGTATGAGAAATTGCACATGTTCTCTGTTGACTTCCTGTTGGCATCCAGCTGGCCCTTGTGGGACCGGAATGTTGCCCTTGCAGTGGGCTTTTGGTTTTACCTGACCATGTTGTTCAGGTGTTTATATGGCAGCACTATTTTTAACAAAGAAGGAAAAGGCATCTTTGCTAAAAGTTCTGTCACTTTGACTTTTTAGTTGTAAAAAAACAGCTTGTATGGAAGTACAGACAATAAACTCAGAACTCTGTAATAGCAATTAACTCAGTAAAAGGTTTAAAAGCTTCCACTCCCAAGCTCTCCCATCTTTAACTATAATTAGCTAACCTTTACATATATTTTGGGAAGAATAAATATTCCAAAGAGCTTACATGGATGAGATTGACTCCCTCTCCAAGAACGAACATTGTTTTCTATACATTTATACTGTTTTTGTTTTCTGTATACTTAAATATATATATATATATATATAATTTTAACTTAATTTTGAAAATCCACCTATCGCCATGTGAATGTCCTGATATGGTAGATCCCATGTTTCTGTGAACTGATATGGATTATCAAATATTGATTGTGTTTGCAGTGCTGAAATTGCTATGGTACATGTGGCACCCTCCTTCTTAAATTTAATCCCACCTTGTATCTGAGAAAGACAGATGTAGTGCTTCCCCTCAGTTTTATCCCCTGATAAAGGATGGCTGGTCCAAATTCTCTCCAAAAGCTTGGATAGCAGAACTTGGGTTTCCCCAGTCCGTGGGGAATCCTTCCTATAACCTATAAATCACCTTAGTTTTTGTTGGATGAGCTATGAGGTGGATCTACTTGCAAGGGATCTGGCCTTAGTGGTTTTGTCATAGGTTTTGTTGGATCTCTGGGTTTACTGTGGACTCATT